AAGGCCCTCTTCTTCGGCTGCTGAACTCCGACGCCCCTCCATGCTGCTGCTGCTGCTGCTGCTGCTGCTATAGCCGCTGACGGAAGCAGCGACTATCCTACGGCTCCCTGGCCCCAAACTTGGGTGTTGCTGCTGTTGCTGTTGCTGCTGCCGTTGCTGCTGCTGCTGCTGCTGCTGCTGCGTAGCAGTTCGTAGGGCGAAGCTACCAGTGAGAATAGGGGAGAAGATGTTGCGGATGTAAACGTCAAAGAGGGGCTCAATCGATGCGGACAGCAGCAGCGCAAAGTGAAATCTGCAGCAGCAGCAGCAGCAGCAACAGCAGCAACAGCAGCAGCCACTGCCAATGGCTCCAACGAAAGAGGAAAGAGGCGCAGCAGCAGCAGCAGCAGCAGCAGCAAGAAGCCAATACAACAGCTGCAGCAGAAGCTCCTACTGCGGCAAGAACTGCAAGAAGCAACAGCACGCAGCAACAAGCAGCAGCAAGCAGCAGCAGCAGCAGCAGCAGCAGCAGCAGCAGCAGCAGCAGCAAATCACTGGAAGACTTGGGGGCTTGTGTAGTTTTTCCACTGTGGGTTTAAACAACCCGTCAGCAGCAGCAAGCGGAGGCACTGGAGCTGCTTCTGCATGATGCTGTCGCGGTTCTCGGTCTGCTGCTGCTGCTGCTGCTGCTGCTGCTGCTGGTGTTGCTGCTGCTGCTGTTGCTGTTGAAGTGTATCCGCTCCCAGAAAGAGAGGGGCGCCAGAGATTGCATGTGGGAGTGCCTCTGCTGCTGCAAGTGCAGCAGCAGCAGTTGTTGTTGTTGCTGTTGCTGCTGCTGCTACTGCTGCTGCTGCTTCTTGCATGCTGCTGCTGGCTGCTGCGGATTCTGGGGCTTGATGTCTGTAGCTCTGGGCGAGAAGGTCTGCTGCTGCTGCTGCTCCTGCTGCAGCAGCAAGAGCTTCTGCCTGCATGGCCGTGCTGTGCATTGGGGTTGGTGTTGCTGCAGCAGCTGCTGCTGTTGCTGCTGCTGTTCGTTCTGCTGCTGTTGCTGCTGCTGCTGACGGAGGCAGCAGCAACGAGGGAGGCTGCCGCAACTCCAAGGCGAGATCCACTGCAGCAAGCATGGCTTCAATCTCTTCATTTGTGATGCTGCTGCTGCTGCTGAGGCTGCTGGTGCTGGTGCTGCTTCTGCTGCTGATGCTGCAGGGAGCAACCTGCCGTTGCAGCTCAGCAGGGGTTGGCGATGAGGCTTGCTGCTGACCAGGCGTCAGCCCTGTTGCTGCTACTGGTGCTGCTGTTGCTGCTGCTGCTGCTGCTGTTGTTGGTGCTGCTGCTGTTGTTGTGTCCTCTGGAGTTGCAGCTGCTGCTGTTTGCTGTCTTGCTGCTGCCACCTGCTGCTGCGGAACAGCAGCAGGTTTGTGTTTCTCTTCGCCTGTGAAGACTGTTTCCTGCTGGCGTTCTGCTGCAGCAGCGGCAGGAGGAGCAGCAGCATCTGCTGCTGCAGCAGAAAAAGGAGCAGCAGCAGCAGGTGCAGCAGCAGCAGGTGCAGCAGCAGGTTCTGCCGCCTCGGCCATTCTGTCCCCTGATTTCGCTGTATCCTCTGCAGCAGCAGGAGCTGCAGCAGCAGGTGCATCAGCAACAGGAGCTGCAGCAGCAGGAGCTGCAGCAGCAGGATCTGCAGCAGCAGGATCTGTAGCAGCGGGATCTGTAGCAGCAGGATCTGCAGCAGCAGGATCTGTAGCAGCAGCTCCTGCTGCTGCTGCTTCATCAGGACATTTAGGCTGAGGCGACTGTTGGATGTCTGTCGGCGCAGGAACAGCAACGGCAACAGCAGCAGCAGCAGCAGCAGCAGCAGCAGCTGCTGCTGCTGCTGCTGTTGCTGCTGAAGTGTCGGCCATCTGCAGCACGCTTCAGGTCTCCCCAAGCGACGGGGGCCCCCTAGGGGCCCCCCTGGTCTAAATTAGGCTGAGAAGCAGTAAGTGAAGAGCAGCAAAAAAAATAAAGCAGAAAAAACGAGAAAGCAACGGACAGAGAACCTTGAAGCAGCTCAGAGCGAACGCACAGACAAAACAAACAAAGCTGCTGCCAGTGCTGCTGTTGCTGCTGCTGTCCTTGATGTGGCTTCTGCTGCTGCTGCTGCTGCTGCTGTTTTTGATGTGGTTGCTGCTACTACTGCTGCAGACTGCTGTTGCTGCTGCTGCTCCTCCTGCTGCTGCTTCTGCTGCTCTCCAGACGTTTCGTGCCTATGAACGATGCAGGCGAGTAGGAGTAAAGAAATGCAAGCCAACCAGGCTCTCCTCTCAAACCCTAAACCCTAAACCCTAAACCCTAAGCCCGTGGTGTAAGCGGCCTGTCTCTCTGCTGTTGCCTTAGGGAGAACTGTCTCTGATGCGGCTGCGTCTTGTGGCTGATGAGGCCCCTGTTAAGGGCTTAGGGTTTAGGGTTTAGGGTTTAGGGTTTAGGGTTTAGGGTTAGCTGTAGTAGGCGTACGTGGAGAGCTAGTACAGGTATGAGGCTGAAGGCGTAGTTTTTTTCTTCCTTCTTCCCGCAACATTTAAATTAGATAATAATATTTGATAATTTTAATTATTAAAAGAAAAGTAAAATACAAATAAAAGAAAAAACACCCAGCAGAACAACTGCGTCCTTGTTATACTGCTGCTGCTCGCCTGCTGCTGCTGCTGATGCTGCTGCTGCAGCTGCTGCGGTGGTTTGGGGTGGAAACTGACTGAAATTTTCCGGAATAATAAATAAAAAAAGAATATAAAATAAAAGAATTTATTTTTAATTCAAAATTTAGATAAATAACACTCAAGACCTCCCCCTACACCTGGAGGCGTCTAGCGGCTCAGCGGCTGGTTCGCCGGTTCGGCTGAAGAGACTTGTGCAATATTTCTGTTGAAATACCTTTAAATTTCTCCGTTTAAAAGCAAATTAAATATAAAAACATATTTAAAATCAAATTATTTAGAATATATTTTATTTAAAAAACGTTTAAACGAAGTTTCTCCGCAGCAAATGCCTTTCGGGCGGCTCTGAGTGACCTCTCGGCCTTTCCTTCTTTGCACACTTTGCTTTTTCTTCGCGAGAAGATTTGATAAAATTTTGCAAATTAAATTATTTACTTTATTTTAATTATTTAATTGCTAAATTAATTATTTATTTATTTAAGTTCTCTCAAATTTTAACTCTGATCGGCACTGAGAGCCGCGAAGGCTCTGATGAGTTAAGCAAGAGTAGCGTTATAATAGATGCTTTCAAAGAAATTGTACATATATTTAATTTAATTTAATAAATAAATACATTAATTATTTAAATTTAAATAATAATAATCTGAGGTTAGATAATAATCCCAGCGGTGGCTTCCTTTTTTTGTTTTTTCTGCAATAAACAAATTACTCTCTTTGTCTTTCTTTCTTTTCTTCTTTCTTTCTTAATTTCTTTGTTTATTTCCTTGCCTGTCTGTCTGTCTCTCTTTGTTTGTTCGTTTGTTTTTGTATTTCTTTCACCATCTCTCTGTCGCTCTGTCTCTGGTTGTTTTTGTATTTCTCTCTGTCTCTCGCTCTGTCTCTCTTTGTGCATTTGTCTCTTTCTTTCTCTATTTGCTTGTCTATTTCTTTCTTTGTCGTTGTCTTTGTCTTTCTCTTTGTCTCTGTCTTTGTCTCTGTCTTTGTCTTTGTCTTTGTCTTTGTCTTTGTCTTTGTCTTTGTCCTTGGCTTTGTCTTTGTCTATTTCTTTCTTTGTCTCTGTCTTTGTCTTTGTCTTTGTCTCTGTCTATTTCTTTCTTTGTCTTTGTCTTTGTCTCTCTCTTTGTCTTTTTCTGTTTAATTTTAATTTTAATTTTTATTTTTTTCTTCTGTCGGTGTTCACACATCTCTAAACTCTGCAACCTCTTCTTTTTTTTTATTTTTTGTTTTTTGTTATTTATTTTTTACCTCGACAGTGAATAAAGAAAAAGAAAAAGAAAAAGAAAAGAAAATATATAACAAACGAAGATGCTGAACATAGCGATGAAATAAAAATAAAAATAAAGAATAAAAATAAACATAAACATAAAAATAATAAACGAAGACACAGAAATGGACAAGAGAAAATAAAAGACATCAAAAAAATAAAAGTAAAAATAAAAATAAATAAGTAAATAGTAAAAATAAAAGAAGAAAATGAAAAAGAAAGAAAGAACTTGACAAATAAAAGACAAAAATATTTAAATAAACAATCAACGGCAAACTAATTAATAAACAAATAATTAATAAACAAGTAAAAATAAATTATCAATTATAAATGAAGTTAATATATACGTACTTAAAAAATAAATAATAATAGTAAGTAATAAACAACAAATAAATAATTTAAGATGCAACAAATATATAATTAATAAACAAATAAAAAACAAATAAATAATTAATAAACAACTAAAAAGCAAATAAACAATTAATAAACAAATAATAAATAATTAATAAACAAATAAAGAATAAATAATTAATAAACGAAAATATAAACAGCAAATAAAATATTAATTAAAAACAAATAAATAATTAAAATAAGCAGCAAATAAACAAATTCATGCTTGTTTGTTTGTTTGTTTGTTTGTATCTGTCTCTCCGTCTATCTGCATTTGTCTCTGTTTGAATTAATAAAAAAAAAGATAAGCAGCAGCAAACAAACAAATGCATATTTAAATTAATTGTAGCTGCAGCAAATTAAATAAATAATTAAACTGAATAAATAAATTAAACAAATAATTCAATCCTCTAATTAAATAATTGAGGAAATAATAAAATAATAAAATAATAAAAACTAAAATAATAAAATAATACTAAAATAATAATAAATAATAAAATAATAAATAATAAAATAATAATAAAAAAATAATAAACAATAAATTAACAGAATTATAAACGAAGAATGTTTATCGAAATTAAACTCTAACAAGACAAACCTCGGGGTCTCGGAGTTTCAAAGCAGCAGCAGCAGCTGATGCTGCTTTTGCTGCTACTGCAGCAGGAGTAGCTGCTGCT